AAAGGAGACAAAACATGACAATTAAAGATATGGTGTATCACAAACCATAGAAGAGCACAGAAAAGGGATGGGTTGTCTTCAGGCTAAGACAATCTAGAACGGCTTTCCAGACAAGGTGCAATCTGAGTGCGGACATAAAGACCGAGTTGGGTTTCACTAGGTAAGAGATAAAGGAGTATGCCATTTCAAGAGGAGGGAGTGCTACCAGCAAAAACACCCTGTTGGAAAACCACATGTGTGTTCAGAGAATGCCAAGTAGTTTATTTTAACCAGAAGCTAGTATGTAAAGAAGACAGTATAAAGAGGCTAGAAGGGAGCTTTGAGCCAGTTTAAAAGTTTCAGGGAGTACGAGGAGCTACTAACAGTGTCTGAGGAGGGAACTGACAAGAGTGAAAGCAACGAGGTGCTTCAGGAATACTCACCTGACATGAGTGGGAACGACAGTCTGGAGAGAGGAACACGAATGGACAGGCCTAAACTGAGATGAAATGCAGTGGGAGTGAAACGCTGGAGGCAGGTGAGATATTAGGAAAGTAAAAACGACAATGCAGCAAAAAAGAGAGGTGAAGCCAAAGGACAAGAAGACCATCTTCAAAATTTTCCGTCTGGATAACTAAGAGAGTAGTACTGTTAACAGAAACAAGGATGTCCGAAGAAAGAGCGAGACTGATAGAAAAGACGCTGAGGACAAGTTTAGATGCTTAAATTGAAGTGTTGGCAGGATATCCACGTGGTAATGTCACGCAACTCAATCTAAGGCTACTTACTAGCAACTCAGAAGACAGATAAGGGCTAGATAAAAACATGGGAGTTCTCTCAAGAGTGTTAAGAATCAGGATTACCAACAGAATGAGGAGAAAGAAAGCTAAAGGTAAAGCACAGTGAAACACCTTCATTTAGGGGCAGAAACAGAGGAGCCTGGAGAGGGAGAGGAAATGGGGGTGGGGTTGTGGGGGAGAGGAGAGGAAGGAGGGGGAGGAGGAAGAAGGGAGGGGGAGAGGGACATAGAGAGAGAGAGAAAGAATGTGAAACCTAGTTAAAAAGGAAGAAGAGTCTGAATTATAAAAATTTCTCCCCCAAACAAACAGTTTTGTTAACCAAATGCATCAGCATTAGGCTAATTGTAAAGATTCGGATTTAAGGAATTAAAAACTCATTATAATTACTGTGTTTATCTTGCTCGCCATAGTGTTATCCCCAGTGACTAGCTCAGTTTGGGGTGAAGAGGGCCTTTAAAAATATTGTGAAGAAAAATGTGCAAGGATGGATCCCAAGCTCCTGCCCAAATACTGCAGATCTCTTAAGTAGCTAAAGTAGCCCTTAAGTAGCTAAAATATTTCCTAAAAGACTTTTCTCATTATTTGCTGGCTTAATTTCCTATTTTCAGTGCAACTCCTGCGCAGTAATTACAAATATTGAATTCATGACCTACACATTCATTAGGTTTTGTACATCGTCACACTGAACCCACCCCAGCTCCACAAGTCTGGGTGGGGTCTAGCTATGTTTCAGAAGGGTTTTTTCCAAGAAAGGTAATTCAGGCAAGTACCATATATTATGAAAAACCCCGTAGTAGAACCTAGAGCAGCACCCTGTGATCAAACACATTAATATTTCTGCAACAAAATGTAAGAATAGTCACACTAGTAAAATAAATAAAGATTATAAATTGCTTCACGTTAGTTCAAGGCAGGTTTTTCAACAAATAGTTCATGTTAGGTCAGGATTTTTGCCAGAATTGTGGACCTGAAACAGGTAGACAGTACAGCACATCAAAAGGCTGTCATGGCGTGCTATGAAAAGTCAGAGCCCACAGGCCACCCACACATTTTCCCTATTCCTCCCGCACTCCTTGGCAACCAATCCTATTTTGTTGAATAGGAGCAGAATTTAAAAGCTGTTCACCTTTAATAACAAATGTACAAAAGCCTCTGCCTTAATATGTAACTTTTAACTAAGCTTTTCCCTAATTCTTCTAGACTTGACTCTCTTCCTTCCCCAAACTCTTGCAGCTCTGGTCATCCACCATGTCAGCATTTAGTCATGTGTCAGATCATACTGATTTTATGAGTACAAGTCATTTTATCTAAAGAGATCTAAGCAACTTCAGTCCAGGTCTGCTATTTTACATTCATTCAAAAATTATATACTGAGTGCCTACTATGTTGTAGGCACTGTTCTAAACACTGGGTACACAGCACAGAACAAAACAAAGTACCCACCCTCAAGAAACTTACATTATAGAGCAGACAGCCAACAAACAAGTAGGTCATATGGTTTTAAGTGCCACAGAGAAAAATAAAGCAGGAGAGAATAGGAGAATGCAGGACAAGCCATGCAGATAATCCCCACAAAAAGCATTCTTGGCAGAATAGACAGTATAGCCTAGCACCGTAGACTTCCCTGACCACTTCCTCCACCAAATAAGCATTGATCACTTCCCTATTTGTTCTCCCACTGTGCTCTATTACAGCATCTCTCTCAGTATTCTGCAATTATTTGATATGTCAGTATTGTTTCCCAAACTTAAGGCAAAAATGATGTCTTATTACAGAGGTTGACAAATATTTTTTGTAAAGGGCCAGACAGTAAATAGTTCGGGCATTGTGGGCCATATGGTCTCTGTTGCAACTAACCGAGCTGTGTCTTTGTTGCAGGAAAGCAGCCATAAACAATATGGAAAGGAATGAGAATAGCTGTGTTCCAATAAAACTTGACTTACAAAAGTAGGCAACGGGCCAGATTTGGCCCGCAAGTGGTAGTTTGCCAACTCCTATCTTATTCTTTGAATCCCTAGCACTGAATGACAATATATTTCATAGAGAAACTCAAAAACATATTCATAAAATTGAACAGGATATTAATAAACCCTAGCTAAAATGAATTAATTATAGCAGAAAATGTTAATTTAGTGGGTGGCTATCCTTGCTGGACAGATTCACCAGCCACTGACTAAAATTAGTATTTGCCAATTTCTTACCTAGAGTGTAGGCTATGAAGTTGAGGATGCCTACTACAATCCAAACCCAATCAGGTACGTGCTTGTGACCCGGTGCTGCAAAGGAAAGCAACTCAGATTTTAATACAGTCTAAGTACAATCATTCTCACCATTGCATACACCACCAATGAGAAATGTTTCTACTTACTAAATAGAAGTTAAAGTACTTTACAATATATTTTGAATGCAGAACTAAGTAAATATTAAAATATATCAGTGAACTCTGACAAAACCAAAGAAGTAACTGCCCAACCCCACATAAACAACAGGCATTTATTTTGAGCTTTAATCGTAACTATTGACAGATTGTTCATCTTTACTTGAAAATTACTTATGTACCTAGAATGAAAAATGTTTTTGGAATTTAAAATATGCTTGTATTTAATCTGATGCTCATTGTTTATGATTAAACTACAAACATGTATTGAGCCATCAACCTATACTCTCTCACTATATTATTAATTAGCTAAACAAAAGACTTTTTGATTTGGGGCCAGCCCCGTGGTGTAGTGGTTAAGTGCTCGAGCTCCACTGCCGGCGGCCCGGGTTCAGATCCCAGGCACGCACCGACACACCGCTTGTCAGGCCATGCTGTGGTGGCGTCCCATATAAAGTAGAGGAAGATGAGCCCAGGGCCAGTCTTCCTCAGCAAAAAGAGGAGGATTGGCATGGATGTTAGCTCAGGGCTGATCTTCCTCACACACACAAAAAAAAAGAAATTGTAACAACAACAACAAAAAAAAGACTTTTTGATTTGGGTATAGATAGATACCTCAACTGGATGATTTTGGCATCAGAATCATTCCGAAATGTCTGGACCCTGCTATTTCCCCCTAAGATAGAATAACTGAGAATCAGGAGGTCTGGGTTCTAGCCCTAGCTCTGTAATCAACCAGCACTGTGACCTTGAATATATCATTTAACCTTTCCTATCTTACATTTCCCAAATATACTGACAATAGATGGTTTACCTGGTCCTTCAAGTTCTATGATTTGGGGAAATGTATATACAATATTTACATATTTTAGTTCTCTTAATAACTAAGTAAATAATCTTATTTAGAGTAGTCAGAGAAAATATTTCTAGTTACAAAGATAAACTTTTGAGGATGTCCTGAGGATTAATATACAAATTTTTTTAAAACTACTTAATATCAAAACCATGCTTAATGAAATTTAATTTTATTTATTATTCATGTGGTACTTTATGATCTTCAATTACCATTTTATTACATGTACAGAAGCTATGGCTAAAAATTTTAGTTGATAAAGTTAGGCATATGTATAGTTTTAATATTCAGGATTTCTATATATCAAAAGTCAAAAGTGTTGAAACTCCGAATTTCATACAAAAAACAATGTTGTCAGTGATTGTTAATTTCTCCAGATCAGTCCACAAAAGTCTGCTGAACCCACAAGACAGATGAATTATAATACTAAAATTCCTCACTACATCATTTATAAGTATTCTTATTAGAAAACATAATCTCTAACTTAGAATTCAAAAAATATTCATCTATCTCCATCTTTCTGTTCCTCTCAACTCCACCAACTGGCTGAGCAAAAAAAATAAACTGCCTCCCACTTACTCCTCCTCATCCCAAATACACTCCAGATTCTCCCCTATGGCTTGGGGCAGAAGCTGGGTGTGGGAGAAAGTGAAGACAGGAATAGGTGTGAAAGAAGACATAGGAGTCCAAGGTGGGAGCAGGCTGAAAACTGCTCCAAAAGTGCTTCTTTCCTCTCTTCCCCAATAAGGGTCCAGAGTTCAGTCAACAAATATTTAAGGTCTGAGAACCATTTCCGAGGAAACTGGGAGTTATTAAAGGCAAGCATGGATGCTGAGCAGAGGGAAAGAGAGATCATATTCCCTTTAGCAACAAGGGGATTCTTCTTCCATAACTAGAAAAAGGAAAGAGATATTTCTGGAATTGGTAAGTATGCTGGGCTCTGCTTATATTAATTTTCAGGCAAAGTTTCACAGTCCTGATTTTCCACCTTCTTATAAATCCAATTATTCTTTATTTACCAAAGCCTCGTTGCTTTTCAGACAGTCTATCTAAATTCAATAGCCACGCTGGTTTCTAGAGCTTAATGGAAACATACATAACATACTGTGAAAACAAAACTTGGCTTTTATACCCAATTCTGACATTTTACATACCCTTATAATATCCAGAACTTTTCAGAAATATGAGCATCTCAATAGAACCAGAAAATAACCATATCTCCTTTCTATTTAGACATTTTATATTTTATATTAAAGTAATAATTTTACCTGAAGCATAAAAGTCAGGATCAAAGTGTGCCATAAGTAGGAAATTAAATACAACCAGCAGAAAGCCAGAAAAGGTGATCAGATTTGGAGCCAGCCAAGTAGGAAATACCTATTTTTTTCAAAATAATTACAAAATAGTTAAAGTAGCGGAAACTCTCTGTCCACTAAACACCACAACATGCAAATTTAAGTCATAATGAAAGCTATAAATTTGAAATATCTTATATACACGAGTTACATATATTTAAATGCAAACCATAATCTCCAATTGATAGAAATAAGCATTTCTTTCTTCTATTTTCTATATTTTAAATAATTCTATAATCAATAAACTTTTACAATCATAACAACATTTATTTCAAAAAAATTTTAAAAGGCATTTTATAAAAATGATAAATTCTAGAGTATAAACTTCTTTTTCAATAATGAGATATATCAAAAGGTATGTGACTAAGGGAAAGGAGGATAGGAGAGGTAGTTTCTCTAGATATCTTATTAAACTGACAGTTGCATCCGTAACATTCCATAAAACACTTTAAAACATTTAAAACTTACTAAAACATAAGTATATGCCTATTAATCATCTTACCTTTACTACGGTGTTCCAAAATGGATGCATGATATACAGAGAGAGTGGATTGGTGTCCAGAGCACTGTACTGTTAAGAAATGAAAGAAAACATTCAGAGTTAATCCTTGCATACTAGCAAGTAGAACAATATTTCTCAAATGACAATAATAGTACAAATATAACCTGGAGAATGTCTATGTTTATGATGTCCTCATCTGCGCAACAAAACTGGAGATGCAATATAAATGGGGCAAAGATGGTCAAGCACAGCCAGATATTTTTTTACTCAATCAACTTTTATCTTACCATGTTTCAGTAGAAAAATTTATATTGCTTATAAATTCTCACTTACTATGCAGGATCAGTAACATGCGCACTGTGTGCATTGAAATAACGACCACATTCGACCTTTTCAACCTCCTTCATCCTTCTCAACTAACAGGAATCTATTGTTTTATCCCTAGATACCATTACTAATGCACTTACTAGCTGTGCGACCTTGGGTAAGTTACTTAACCTCTCTGCCTTAGTTTCTTCACCTGTGAAATGAGGATGATAGCCTTTACCTCAAAGGATTGCCATAGGATTAGATACATTAACAATATACATGAAGCACTTAGAGCAGCACCTGGCCCACAGTAAGTGCTATCTAAGTACTAGATATTATTACATGTGCTTTGAGCACCAAAGGAATGACAGATCCCTTTACAGCAGGAAAATGAATTGCATAAATAAGCAAAGGAAGACAACACCTTAGGGTTCTGTTACCACAGTTTATTCCTCAATTATTGAGCTACTTAGGAAAAATTCAAAGGAAATTTTAACAAATATCTGTATACAAATATGTAAAACTTTAAGAGTCATGTCAATGACGTATTCATCAGACACATCACACCGGAGTACCGGCATGTAGGAAGCACTCCACTAGAAGTGGGAAAGAAGGGATACAAAATTGGTAAGGGACAATTCCCACCCTCAGGGAGTGCGAATATTACCCAATTCAACCATCTGACATTTAAACGATGTCATACTATTCAAATGTCTGAAAAAATTTTGACTGTGTTTTGTATTTATGCTTAGTATGTACGTAAAATAAGTAGTAAGCATTTGAGTATCTAATTTTTTTTAAATAATAAGATCAAAATTTCTTCCTGAATGTTTTATGAATATGCAGGAAATATCTTCTCAAAAGTATTTCAAGACTTAAAAGCATGATGGAACACAAAAGTAAATAAAGAGAAATAATTTAAAATACTGCTAGCAAAGAGAGTTAACTAGTAAGTCAAACATTTATTCAACAGACTCCATGTCTGAGGCCCTCACTTTCTCCAACCTATTCTGACTGAAGTGGGATAAAACTTGGACCAAAGATCTGAGATAGATAGTAGGAAGAAAATGGTGATAGAGAACAAGGTTTGCCTCTGCTGGCCAGAGTGAGAAGCTATGCAGCTGTATCCAGACTCTCAGCAGGAGCCTACTTAAATGAGTATTACTGTTCTTACTAAAATCAACTCTTAATGCATGGTTCTCTACACTTCATAAAGCTTCTCCACATAATAGATAGCACTATATTTGAACCTCTGCAGAATGAAGGAGTTCTCAACTGACAGGACTGCCTGAATTTAAGTCTTCAGACCTGAGGACATGGAACCAATACGAACCCCTAAAGGCTGCGGATGACAAGGTGGGAGTGCCTGGCCTCCTCCACTTCACCAAAGTCCACCCAGACTGCGTGATGTAGCCAGCAGGTCAGATAAACTAGAAAACCACACATTTCAAGTCCACCATCTACTGCCAAGTACAAAAGTTGTAAGAAGTCCAAATCAGACGAAAACAGTTTGACATTACACGAATAGCTAGTACGATGTACAAAGTACAATGCCCTTAATCCAAATGTTTACTGAATGAGTCTCATCCAGTAGCTTTCCATAATTTGAATTTTGGATCCTTAACTAATAATATTTTGACTTGAAAAGCTCCTCTTTTTAAATTCTGAAGTTTTAACTCTAAATCTCTAGTTCAGGAGACCAGTAGAAGTATGAAAAGAATGCAGAACTAAATACAAGAAGGTGAGTTTGCCTAACCGGATTTTTTACATTTACTTATAGCTGATGAGCTCAAGTATAGCAAGAAAGATTAATATGAGATTACAAAAGGTAGCAAACAATAAACCTCAAGAACACTCTGTGCTCTAGCCTTACACACCTGAGTATTTTTCAAGGTCACATATCACTTAGCATAAACAAACTTGAAACTGTCTTGAGGGAAGAAAAATGACTCAAACCTTCTACGTGCATGAAAAAATAAGTAAAATATTAACTTTTAAAGGTGTTAAACCAGATTTAGGTTATTTGTTAATGCTTGTTAAAAATATTTTTATTTTCTATTGGAATGATATTTTGGTATACACCAGAATATCCGAACCAGGTAGATAATCCACTGTTAAGGCATACTGTGACTTGTTTGGCTCTGCAATCTGCAGGCCCAGACTAAACTAGTGTCCTGGAGAAATGCTTGAGGAGCACAGCCTGAGTTTGAGGGAATCATTCCCAGGAAAAACCTCAGAACCACAAAAGTTCAGAGGACATTTAGTTCTCACATGCCTGACACTCATCTACACAAATAGGTAAAACAGCTGACTGTTTTACTGGCCTCTTTTTAAATGCCTCTGGTTACAAAAAAACTCACTACTTCCAGAAGCAACTTAATCCACGTTAAAAGAACTTTTCTATACACTAACAAAATCCTTTCCTTCCCCCGTATTTTTTATCCTGTTTTCCTTTTGCCTTACAAAGTTAAGCAGACGAGGGTCCAATTTTTCTTCTAAACAACAGTGCTTCAGATATTTGAAGACAGCTCTCCCTGTCACACCTAAATCTTCTCTTCCCCTCTTCACCTTCTCTGCAACATCCCATGTTCCTTTTGCTGCTACTCTTTTGCCACAGTTTAATCTCCTTCATCATCTAGGTCTAGGTCTCTAGACCAGAGGTTGGAAAGCTTTTTCTAATGTGGGAGATCAAATTTGGCCACCCTGAAATATATCTCTGTACCTTGATTATTTTCTCTGACGGACATTTGACCTCCCCCAACCTGCCTAAAGAATTTAACATAGAAGACCTGTTCCAGGAAGAAGTTACTATCATACGATGGCTATAATATAATGCAAAATAGATGTTACAATAGGAAAGGCACCAACAAGCCCCTCTTATCAAAAATTCTGTCTCTCCCAGGCCACATTCTCTAGGTGGCCTTGCAAGGAGTTGGCAGTCAAACATTTACATTTATAAGGGAAATCTCCATTTGTAAAGGTATCTCCCTCTCTGTGCTGGGGGGAAGGGGGGATGGCCTCTCTAGAAACTTATCAGTGTGGAGGATAAGGCCTTAAATCTGCTTACCCTTGATTACTGTAATTTCTGTCTCCCTTCTTTCTCTCTCCCCACCCCCAACATCCTCCTTTGTCTTTAGCTGAGGATGGTATTTAAGACGAGAATCGCCACTATTGTGCTGAGAAACTCAGTTTCCCTGGTTTCTCCCATGTATACATGTTACTAAACTTGGTATTATTTTCTCCTGCTAACCTGTCTTTTTAATTATTTGGCCAGCGAGAAGAACCTTAAGGGAAAGGGCGGAGGGGGATTCTCCCTCTTCCCCGACACTAGAAAAGGCCAGACAGTAAATACTTTAGGCTTTGCAGGCCATACGGTCTCTGTAACAAACACTCAACACTGCCACTGAAGCAGGAAAGTAGTCACAGAAAATAGGTAAACAAGTTGGCATGGCTGTGTTCCAATAAAATTTATTCACAACAACAGGTGCCTGGGGGCTGTAGTTTGACAATTGGTGCTCCAGACAATCCAATTTCTTGTTAAACCAACACAAAGGTGTGGTCCAGGGCAAAAGGAACATTTCAAGTGGTGCCTGAGTAGAAAGGAGAACATGACTATAAACCCCTCTTCCTCAACAACTTATTTCTCTGAAGTTCAACCTATTAATTTCCTTCAGCAACAAAATCATACTGCAGACAACACAGTCATCTAAACCCTATAGGCTTTTCTTATATGGACCGCTAAGCCACCTTTCTCTATGCTAATAGGAGGCTACTGTTGGAACCTAAGCATAAGACTCAACATTTACCATTTTAGTATTTCATCTTGCTGGAGTCAAGTCATCTTTTTAGCCTCTCCAGACCTCTTCAGATTCAAACTCAGTTATCCAAGGTAACAGCTCGTCGTTAGTACCATCAAGTCGATTCCCACTCCTAGCAACCCTGTGTACAGCAGAGTGGGTAACAGCTATGCCTCCCAAAACTCACAGCAAGTAAATCTGTCTTGCTAATAGTGCCTTCACCTAAGTCTCCATAAAAATGCTGATCAAGGTAGCATTTCTAAACATTTCCCTCCAGATTGCTATTAGTACATTTAATAATTTTTATTTGGGTATAGAATTATGTACTGTCATCTATGGCAACTATATCTATCATGCCCACAAAAAAAGATTTTCATGAAGTCTTAGTGAAATCCAGAATTACCTTAGATAACATTTTGCCAAATATTAGAAAGTTTCAAAACTTTTTTTTTTTACTTCAATACAAGTCAGGAAATAAAGCAGAGTTCATTCTTCATTCATTCATTCAGTAAGCCAACAATTAATTTATGATTGAGTGCCTCTGATTTTGCCAGGCAAAATTTTGCTAGGCCACTGGGAAGAGAATGGTGATCAAGACTACAATGTTTCCTGTGTTCACCAAGTTTACAGTCTAACGTGAGATAGACAGTAAGCTAGAAAACAAGTAATAATTACAAGTTGTGATAAATTCTGTGAAGGAAATAAACACGGTGTTCTGCAAGAGGACAAGGCTGCAGGGAGTGTGCCTAGTCAGAGTGGTCAGAGAAAGCTTCTCTAAGGAGGCACACTTAAGCTGAGTCCTAGATGACAAGAAGACAGACAGGTAGAGAACGTATGAGACATAACTGTGACTCAAAGAAGTGAGACGTTAAAGAGAACATGCTATTATAGATTCCATTTATATGAAGTTCAAAAACAGACAAAATGAATTTACGGCAAAAGAAGTCATAATGATAGCTGGTG